CTGGGGTACTTCCCAGTGTCCACTGTGTGGGGTGGGGACTCCTGCTTGCTTCCCTGGGGTACTTCCCAGTGTCCACTGTGTGGGGTGGGGACTCCTGCTTGCTTCCCTGGGGTACTTCCCAGTGTCCACTGTGTGGGGTGGGGACTCCTGCTTGCTTCCCTGGGGTACTTCCCAGTGTCCACTGTGTGGGGTGGGGACTCCTGCTTGCTTCCCTGGGGTACTTCCCAGTGTCCACTGTGTGGGGTGGGGACTCCTGCTTGCTTCCCTGGGGTACTTCCCAGTGTCCACTGTGTGGGGTGGGGACTCCTGCTTGCTTCCCTGGGGTACTTCCCAGTGTCCACTGTGTGGGGTGGGGACTCCTGCTTGCTTCCCTGGGGTACTTCCCAGTGTCCACTGTGTGGGGTGGGGACTCCTGCTTGCTTCCCTGGGGTACTTCCCAGTGTCCACTGTGTGGGGTGGGGACTCCTGCTTGCTTCCCTGGGGTACTTCCCAGTGTCCACTGTGTGGGGTGGGGACTCCTGCTTGCTTCCCTGGGGTACTTCCCAGTGTCCACTGTGTGGGGTGGGGACTCCTGCTTGCTTCCCTGGGGTACTTCCCAGTGTCCACTGTGTGGGGTGGGGACTCCTGCTTGCTTCCCTGGGGTACTTCCCAGTGTCCACTGTGTGGGGTGGGGACTCCTGCTTGCTTCCCTGGGGTACTTCCCAGTGTCCACTGTGTGGGGTGGGGACTCCTGCTTGCTTCCCTGGGGTACTTCCCAGTGTCCACTGTGTGGGGTGGGGACTCCTGCTTGCTTCCCTGGGGTACTTCCCAGTGTCCACTGTGTGGGGTGGGGACTCCTGCTTGCTTCCCTGGGGTACTTCCCAGTGTCCACTGTGTGGGGTGGGGACTCCTGCTTGCTTCCCTGGGGTACTTCCCAGTGTCCACTGTGTGGGGTGGGGACTCCTGCTTGCTTCCCTGGGGTACTTCCCAGTGTCCACTGTGTGGGGTGGGGACTCCTGCTTGCTTCCCTGGGGTACTTCCCAGTGTCCACTGTGTGGGGTGGGGACTCCTGCTTGCTTCCCTGGGGTACTTCCCAGTGTCCACTGTGTGGGGTGGGGACTCCTGCTTGCTTCCCTGGGGTACTTCCCAGTGTCCACTGTGTGGGGTGGGGACTCCTGCTTGCTTCCCTGGGGTACTTCCCAGTGTCCACTGTGTGGGGTGGGGACTCCTGCTTGCTTCCCTGGGGTACTTCCCAGTGTCCACTGTGTGGGGTGGGGACTCCTGCTTGCTTCCCTGGGGTACTTCCCAGTGTCCACTGTGTGGGGTGGGGACTCCTGCTTGCTTCCCTGGGGTACTTCCCAGTGTCCACTGTGTGGGGTGGGGACTCCTGCTTGCTTCCCTGGGGTACTTCCCAGTGTCCACTGTGTGGGGTGGGGACTCCTGCTTGCTTCCCTGGGGTACTTCCCAGTGTCCACTGTGTGGGGTGGGGACTCCTGCTTGCTTCCCTGGGGTACTTCCCAGTGTCCACTGTGTGGGGTGGGGACTCCTGCTTGCTTCCCTGGGGTACTTCCCAGTGTCCACTGTGTGGGGTGGGGACTCCTGCTTGCTTCCCTGGGGTACTTCCCAGTGTCCACTGTGTGGGGTGGGGACTCCTGCTTGCTTCCCTGGGGTACTTCCCAGTGTCCACTGTGTGGGGTGGGGACTCCTGCTTGCTTCCCTGGGGTACTTCCCAGTGTCCACTGTGTGGGGTGGGGACTCCTGCTTGCTTCCCTGGGGTACTTCCCAGTGTCCACTGTGTGGGGTGGGGACTCCTGCTTGCTTCCCTGGGGTACTTCCCAGTGTCCACTGTGTGGGGTGGGGACTCCTGCTTGCTTCCCTGGGGTACTTCCCAGTGTCCACTGTGTGGGGTGGGGACTCCTGCTTGCTTCCCTGGGGTACTTCCCAGTGTCCACTGTGTGGGGTGGGGACTCCTGCTTGCTTCCCTGGGGTACTTCCCAGTGTCCACTGTGTGGGGTGGGGACTCCTGCTTGCTTCCCTGGGGTACTTCCCAGTGTCCACTGTGTGGGGTGGGGACTCCTGCTTGCTTCCCTGGGGTACTTCCCAGTGTCCACTGTGTGGGGTGGGGACTCCTGCTTGCTTCCCTGGGGTACTTCCCAGTGTCCACTGTGTGGGGTGGGGACTCCTGCTTGCTTCCCTGGGGTACTTCCCAGTGTCCACTGTGTGGGGTGGGGACTCCTGCTTGCTTCCCTGGGGTACTTCCCAGTGTCCACTGTGTGGGGTGGGGACTCCTGCTTGCTTCCCTGGGGTACTTCCCAGTGTCCACTGTGTGGGGTGGGGACTCCTGCTTGCTTCCCTGGGGTACTTCCCAGTGTCCACTGTGTGGGGTGGGGACTCCTGCTTGCTTCCCTGGGGTACTTCCCAGTGTCCACTGTGTGGGGTGGGGACTCCTGCTTGCTTCCCTGGGGTACTTCCCAGTGTCCACTGTGTGGGGTGGGGACTCCTGCTTGCTTCCCTGGGGTACTTCCCAGGCTCCCAAACATTTGTTTATTGGGTGTTGTTATTTGCCCAACCCGTTCTCGCAAATTTAATAAGTCAATATTGACTTATTAAATATGTGCATAGGTGACATACTTAACATAATAGATACCCTTAAACAACCCGTTCTCGCAAATTCGTAAAGTCAATATTGACTTATTAACTACGTGCAGAGGTGATATACTAAACATAATAGATACCCCTAAAGAGATTCATAGAAAACACCGACCTTACCTAACCTTGTTAGTATCTTAAGATAAGCATCTTATTGCTTCGTAATTACAATTAATACTTAACCTATACCTATTATAGGTTAGGTAATAATTGTAATTACGAAGCAATAAGATGCTTATCTTAACATACTAAAAAGGTAAGGTAAGGTCGTTGTTTTCAATGAATCTTTTTAAGGGTATCTAATATGTTAAGTATGTCACCTATGCACATATTTAATAAGTCAATATTGACTTATTAAATTTGCGAGAACGGGTTGATTTGCCACAAGGAGCACTCGTCTTCACTGACAGGTGACATTGATATAACAGTAAAGTTTTGCGATTTAGCCTTCAGCGGAACGCCGTAGTACAAGACAATGACATCGTCCCCTAAGTCAACAATAACCAAAGTAAAATTTGTAATACAAGTTATTGCCTTAGTTTATAGCTAATTAGAGATACCCGGTAGTTCCCAGGTTAGTCGGTCACTTCCCCTCACCCTCCAACCTCAAATAGACAAACAATTCCATTCTTACAGCTCAACCACTTGGGCTGGACGGTAGAGCGGCGGTCTCGCTTTATGCAGGTCGCCGTTCAATTCCCTCCGTCCAAGTGGTTGGGCACCATTCCTTCCCCCCCCCCCCCGTCTCATCCCAAAATCCTTATCCAGACCCCTTCTGTGCTATATAGTCGTAATGGTTTGGTGCTTTCCCCTGATAGTTCCCTTCCCCTTGGGGCTTTCCCCCTGATAGTTCCCTTCCCTTCCATTCTTGCAGGAAAGTTACAGCCCCACTCATGTGCCAGGTAAGTCCACTACGGGCTCACCATAGCCCATGCTAATTGGAACTTTTTTTTTCAGAGTAGCCGAGTCTAAGACAAACCACCATTCTTGTATTTATTTAAATACCCGGCAGCACCTGGGTCTCTTCACATCTCCCCCTTCTCATAAATTTTATTATTAACACTTTGGTGGTCTGGACACTCCATGCATTATCGTCTGTAATGATTCTGGACTCAGACCTCCAGGCAAAAAAAAAAAAAAAAAATTTAAGTCATTTTACATTTACGTAATTTGTTGAGGCATAACTATAAATTTGGTGTCAAAACGTTTACAAATGAATTCTCTAGTCTAGACAATAGATGCAAAAACAAAGTGTATTTATTTATAATAGTTTATTTTTTATTTATATATACAAGAGTTCTTACATTCTTGTAAAGCCACACGTTCACCAGTTGATCAACAGTTGAGAGGCAGGACCAAAGAGCCAGAGCTCAACCCCCACAAGCACAAGTAAGTGGGTACAACTAGGTGAGTACACGCATGCATAGTGTTTCGGGCAAGTCCTTAATCCAAAGTTCCCCGGAATACAACCCGCCAAATCATTGAACAACCAGGTACCCATTCACTGCTGGGTGAACAGAGGCTACAGTTAAGGATTAGCGCCCAGCAAATCCTCCCTGGCCAGGATACAAACTCAGGCAAAAGTGCTCGCAAAGCACCGGGGGAGTGTTTTACCACTTCCCCATGGGGAATGCGACATAACAGAGTATGCACAATAGCTTGAGGGAGGGAGGGAAGGAAACTATCAAGGGAAACTGCCAAGCCATTAAACTATATAGCACTTGGAAGGGGTCAGGAAAAAGATTTGGGATGGGACGGGGAAGGAGGATAGTACCCAACCACTTGGACAGTCGAGTATTGAACGCTGACCTGCATAGAGCGAGATCATCACTACCGTCCAACCAAAGTGGCTAGGAACTGCACCACATATTTCACATGCCTTACTCCATGAAAATCCCATGGGATGGCTGAGGGACAATCTCTATAATTGCTATATTTCTTAAGCATTTAACTTATACCTACCCTGACCAGCCTCTGTCAGTTCTGTACCGTCAGATCATTCCCCCGTGCAAAGTTGGACAAGGCTGGCCCCAAACACCTGGACCTGGATTCATAAAGCAATTGCACAAGTACACACTTACGAACCTGTACATCTTTTCTCAATCTTTGGCAGCTTTGTTTGCATTTATTAAACAGTTAACGAGCAGCGAACGATCCCAGTCAAATAATATTATAAACAGCCTCCTTGTGCTTCTGAGCTCATAAACCGTTTAGTAAATGTAAACAAAGCCGCCAAAGATTGAGAAAGATGTACAGGTTCATAAGTACTTGCATGGCTGCTTCATAAATCCAGATCCTGGCCTCTTAACTTTGGAGAGACACATTCTCTTTTTCTTATCACATAGATGAGGACAAATGCATAATTTCTCAAGTTCAAAGGATCGTAATCTTTTTATTTGGCAATAACTTATAGCTCGCCCCCATCTTGATACAATCAACATGCACAATTACAAGTGGTGATGAGAGGATGCAGCATCAGAAGCAGTTTTTTTATTTCATTTATAATGAACAATAATTATTAATAAAAAGAAATATCCAAAACATACAACTTAAGTAACCAGTAAGCTGCCATGATCTTAGCCATATTAAACTAATTTAATATTTCTCAAACAATGGACTTAGGACTTCATTCATGAACATAAATCAGTAAAATTGTAAATAAAAAATTTAGGGCTTGATTTACAAATTTTTAACTGCTAGTTTAGCATTTTGTTCCACATTTCTGAAATCGAATTTCAAGATCATTAACGAGTCGCATGCAACCTCCCACACGTTCACCGAGCCAATGTTTAATGGATCACTGTAAACAGATCTGCCTCAAAAATTCAGAAAGATTACTGTATTTCTATAAAGATACAGTCTATAGAAAAAGGGATGGTCGATGAATGTGTGAAAAGCCCAAGAAAAAGTAGAAGTAACAGAAACAAAAATAATGTCAGCTTTCGGGTTAATTATAAAACACGTGGCGATGACTTCTCAAGCCGCCGTCCACTACTATACAAAATACAATCAAAATACAATCCCACAACAGTGCACAGCCCTACCATTACATCCTTGACAACTCTGTTAATACAATAAATAAAATCTTTAAACCCTGCAAGATCAAGTCATAAAAGCTTGTTTGATGGTTGCAAATGCACAGCATTAGCTTTCTATCACAATATATACAAAAAAGAAAAATAATTTGCATGCATAAATTTTTTATTTTTATAACACAACCTTAATTTATGATACAATCAAAATGAATTGATAATACAATCAAAGATGATAAATACGACTCGCCACCACTTCACCAAAATACCAACATACACTTGAACATTGCCGAACCTTCATATTAATATCCGATTCAACTCCCAGTACAGTACAATATTCAACAAATATCACCCAGCAGATGCATACTCATCTTACAAAATTTGGAAAGGGTTTTTGGCTATGTTCAAAAGCCAAAGTAAGTACAGAAAAGTCCCTGAGATTTTAATTAAAAATTTTAAGGAACAATCATGTACAGGTTTTCAAAACTAGCACACCATAAAAAAATGAGCACTCAACTTTTCTCTACAAATATGTAATCCATATTCATGTTTCAAGTGTGTTCCATAACAAGGCTTTAAAAGCCTTTTCATATTCACAAGATACAAGCTTTAACAAAATAATGCCATTTTATCAGAATCTACATCAAGGATAGATTTTATCCTTCCAAATATTATTCTTGTCTATTCACGAGAATACTTTCCATAGCATTTCCAAACACGTTCACTCACTCACAGGCATACATTCACATGTGCGTACACACACACATGCGCGCGCGCACACACACACACTCTCTCTCTCTCTAAAAAAATATATTTTAGCCTAAGGTAAACTGCTGAGTAACTTGACCCGCAGGACCATACGTGCAAACAATCTCCGACTGATTGACATGATCTGTTGTGAAAGTCGCCATGTTGTTTGTAAAATCTACTTCATATGCTCCATCCAATGTTCCTTCCATGGGTTTGTCTCCTTTAGTTGACTGTAGGAAAAGAAAATTAACCATCAGTGTTAAGCAATATTTCAAGGGTAAAAAATCAGCGTTGAATGTAATAAAATGCCAATATCTGATCGAGCCCCAGTGGCTCTCTAAAGCTACTATCGCTACTTAAAGCTACAGTACTTATAGTGTACCATCTATAAGGTTGCATCAATTGCAGAGGAATTCAATGGCCTCCCCACCCCCATAAACACACACACTAACACAGCAGTGATGCTAATGTATATATTTAGGCCACCACTGAGGGATGGCACCCAGGAAGCCAGAGCAAGACGAAACAAAACACTGCTGGTTTCATATTAGACCGCAGCCTCGAGACCCACCGAAAGAACTCTTCCAACTATGTAAACAAATGGTCGAAATCTCTCGAAACTAGCACAATGCTCGTTTACACCACCTCCCTCACTCGTATGGATAAAGAGGGGAGGCAGCTCCTGTTCAGCCCACTCCTCCACCCTCAGTTCCATGATAGGTGTAACCAACCCGCCCAACAACCTGGAGGGAGGGTTTCAGGGAGCCACCGGGGCTCACACAGAAATTGAAGTTTCCTTATACCTTCATTAGACATTGAAGTTTGAAAACCTTCGACACTAGCTTTCTGGGAGAAGTCCCTTGGACTCCATGAAGCTAACCACCCACAGAGAAGGAAAACAAACTGGAATATACCAGGGGAGGAGGGAGCACAACAGGAGCTATGATAAACCTTGGAACTAGGGGACCAAGGCGAGAGAATCGACCCACAAGGCATCCGTTGACATAGACTTGGAGCTTCACGGACAACTACTGGGTTCACAAGAACAAAATCATCAAAACTTTCAAAGTCCCCAAACGATTCAAACTAAAAAAAAAAATTTACTTTAAACCCATTAAAATTGATCGCCACCACAAGGGGGCCTAGAGTTCAATCCTCCACAAATTCACTGGTCAATTCTGGAGCAGATAATCATCTCTATGAACTAACAAGCCTGGAAGGGAGGGAGGGAGACAGAGAGCCACTGGAAATCCAACAGAAAGAGGCCTTTCATTACATTCAACACTGGGTTTCTGGGAAATCCTCCATGGTGGCTCCCTGTAGCTAAATAAACACAGAGAAAGACGAGGAACTTGCCAGTAAGAAGTGGTGACAGGCACTAATTCTAAAGAGTCCATCAGCTGGGAAACATGGCCATGGGCAACACAGGACCAACAAGGACCAGGAATACTAAATACATTGCTGCCGTGACCTTGTTAGACTGCCAAACCCCTCCCCCTTCCCCCAAGCTCCAATATTCACCCAAGACATTATAACAGACCATCATGAGAGCAGTGTATTTGCAAACATCATGGGCCTGAGAGTAGACCATATGCTGGCTAACTTCATAACACTGCAGACAAGCTGTAAAATACAAGCCTTGGAACTGGGGACTAAGGAGACAGGATCTAACCACAAAGCATTCCTCGAAGCACAGCCAGTGGCATGCAGGTAGTGCAGAACAAACTCAACAACAACAGACACAACAAATGGCACACCCTGACCCCAGCCAAATCAACCAGTCAATAACTATCAGACCCTTCTGGAGGCTCACTGACTCGTTTTTCACCAGAAAAAGAAAGAGATAGCTGCAAACAAATAAAATATCCATCAGGGCCAAAGAAGGAGAACCCTGGCATCTGGAGAAGAGCCTGAATCTCCCCAATCAAATTACTGAAGACAAGAGCCAACAAAAATAGTCTTAAAAAAAAGGTATCCCAAGCTGAAGGAATAGACATGAACCTAAGGGAGGAGAGAAAGTCTAGCACTCTGTCAAGATATTGATAAAGAAACAACCAAGAAAAAAAGACAATACCACACAAACTGAAACCAAAGAATAACAAGAGCCAGAAATAGGCAAAACGGGGGTTGTCAATTCATACTGTTGTCTAGAAGACAAAATGCCAGTGGGACACCAATAACTCGGCTACCTGTACTCAATCAAATCCATAATAGACCTGCATCAGACATGAAGGACAAGGAGAAGGCCAAATCAGTGAGGTAAATTTACGGACTGATCTGCTGAAAAAGGTGGAATCACAAGAAAATGTCTAGCTTTGGACACCCGGGCCAAGAGCCAAAAAACCCAGACTGAGCTTGCCGTCAAGGAGCCGAAAGAATTACCTTCCCCGAGAACAAATCCAGTCTGGAAAAAAAGAGCCCAGAGCAACATCTGAACCAGGAAAAAAAAAGAGGTAAATGTACTCCAACCAGTCGGCGAGAAAGGCCAAAATGTTTTCCCCTAAAGAAGTAGTCAGCTACATAGACAAGCTAACTTGGTGAAAATACAGGATCCAGATGCAAGCAAGAGTAAAACCTGGAAGCAGTAAGCATGATGCCCTACCACAAACCTTTCCATTAACTTAACCCTGGATGTATTGGGATGTGCCAGTATGCATCCTTGAGGTCCAGGGACATGATCCAAGCCACCAACTGGAGAACCAGATGAATTTGGGCTAAAGTGGTTATGCAGAAGGTTGGCCAGGGAATGTAGCTGTTCAAACCTGAACAGATCCAGGATGATCCAAATTGTTCCTGGTCCCAAAGAGGGACTGGACGGACTGTCCGGTATCTCTTTGGGACTATGAACAATCAGGACATCCAACAAAGGGATGAGGTCAGCTCGACCATGCTCAAGTTCTACCACATCATTCTACCCAATGCAGCATCAGTGATGAAACGTGACCTGCCAGTCCCGACCCCAAAAGAGGGGGCAAAAAAAACCAACTCCACCACAGACAGAGATATAACTTGAAATACCCATGAATCAAGTGACCAGGAGTCAGCAATGTGAGCAAGATGACACTCTACTGCATCATCAAAGGAACAAACTGTGAAAGGGCCACTAGAGGAACTGTACCATCTTTCTGCAAAGTAAAAAAAAAAAAACAGCATTGAATGTAATGAAATGCCATTTTCTGGTTGAGTCCCGGACGCTCCCCAGAACGTACCAGACTGATACGTATGCATTAGGCCCTGGCATCTGTCAATTAGATTGGAGTTCTATGCCTACCGGGGACCACACCCAGAACCTGGCCCCCCCCCCTCAGAGAGGCACGACGAACAATGACCAATTACCCTAGACGATTGTAGTTGGCAAGGCCACATTTTATATCATTTTTACAACTGCAACACGCAGAGGAACCATACCCAGAGGTCAGGGGTCATAACAAAAGTCTCCAACCGAGCCATAGCCCGAAGCAACAGCGGAACCGGAGGGAAAGAGGTAAAGGTATCCCCACCTCGACTAGTCCTGCCGAAAGACATCAACCCCAACAGCCTCACAGTCGGAAATGGGCACCACATATATCGGGAGATGCCTCTACCACGCCAAAGCAATGAGGTCCACCTTCGAGCGCCCGTACGTCCAGCAGAGCCAACTGAACGAGTCGGTGTCAACCGTTCATTCCATGGAAAGGGGAATGAACCGGGACAGGCCATCCCCCAGGATGTTGGACACCCCCTGAATGTGAACCGCCAGGAGAGCCAAACCCTGAGAACTCAGCAGACGAGTCACCCCAAGCGACCAGCCCCAAAGAGCCAAGGACCACTTCGAACCTGCGCAGGAGAGGCCTGCCCTGCGAACCCCGAAGGAGGAGGAGCTACCCAACGCCACCGCAGACTAAAGGAAACGACCCGAAACGCCCACAAATCGTGGGACCAGGTGTGAGCAAACAGTGCAAGCCTCCCCCTCACCACCCCGTCAATGGGGCAACCTGCGAAAAGGCCAACGCCCCTTATGAGAAGCCGACCCATGCGCACAGTGATCGCCGTGCCGACTAGACGCCGCCAGCTACGAAGGAAACGTCTGTTCCAAAACTGGCAACACTGGCTTACCATGACCAAAGGAACCCCGAACCCGGGAACAACCCTTCCAGGAAAGACCCCCATGGCCACCCTGGAGAACCACAAGTCAGACATAGGGCGACAGCTAAACGAAGCAGCTGCAGATACGGCACAACCGCAGAATCTGCAGACAGCAACAGACAAAACGGCGACAAAAACCTAAGAACCAGGGCCCACATGGATTCCAAAGAGAGCGAGCACAACCTGCCAGCATGCGAGGCGAGAAACAAAGAACAGACACACCGCCTTCTTCAGAATCAGCGCAAACAACTTCAACAAGGCAGCCGACGCCCGAGCCGCCAAGGCAAGAGCACCAGACACCGGTCAGGCAACCAGCGCCTCCACATCCTCCTGAAGCCAGTCCGAAGACAGCTCGAGCAGGGAAAAAGAAACGCAAAACCGAAGCAAAGTGCCCACGGGCACGCAAATCCTCGGCTACCAGGGAAGCCGAAAGGACGGCATCCTGCACGTGAAGCAGCACTTGGCAAAAATCCCTAGGAAGAACAGGGGCGAATAACCACTGCACTGCGCAATGCACCTGTAGGTGCTCGACGGGTGGTGCGCAACGCGCCTCGGGGATCTTACAGGTATAGCGTATGATTCAAAATTCCCACAGCTACATGGGGGTTCACATCAGCTTCCTCAGGGCTCTTGTAAATAGAGGCCAATTAAAAAAAAAAATCGTGGGCAACATTCCCGGGTGTGAGAGCCTCAGTACTGAGTGAGCAACCAAGGCTGGCACACACAGCATGAGCTCACAGCACTGCTGTTCAGCTTGTGACCGCAACATTGTCTAATAATGTCAAAATATATGTAATTGGTATTATTACAGAAGAGCCCAAATGTGATAATGACTGTGTATAATGTTCAAATATCAGTGAATTAATGGTGTTCAAGATATTCACAGTGCTAGCCACAGCACCACAGCATTATTTTGTCCATCTAGGAATCTTCAAATGACTTATGTTCCTTTACAAAATAAATTTGTGGTCAATTATTCATTTACGGGATTTAGTGTCCAGGATTGTGATAATAGCAGAATTGTGGTGATAATTACCACTGTGTGTAGTATTGTGGGAGGAGGAATTTTGGCAAGGAGGGAGGGAATCGAGGTAGCGCCACTGTG